GCAGGATGGAGCCATGACAATGTTTGATCCTTACATGAAATCTGGAAGAATTATCTTTGACAAGAGCTAAAGGCACTTTGGTAGCTGGTGGCATGTGCCATCTCTTGTTACTTTCCTGTAGGTCCCTGTGGTGCTGCCAGCCCATGGGAGCTCTCCTCACGCCATGGAGGTCACTGTACACCCAAGCAAGATCATGGCTGAGCCAACAGACCCACTGAAGGGTCAATCCCTGTCTGGAAAGCAGGAGTACTGGGGAAAAGACCTTCTTAACCTTCTGTAGGCAGGTGACAGAAGGTTAAGTCCTGGTTAAGCAGTCTCTCTTCTAGTCGAGAGAATGACAGATTATTTCCTCGTTGAACCAGAAAGTCAGAATGATTATTGGCACTTTGTACTTGTAACACCATATGTATTCCATAAAGAAAATTATTTCATGTAGAGGTAACATGCTATTGCACAAGGAATTGTTTTGAAACATCCAGGTATTTGCAGTACAGGGATTTCCTTTGTCATGATGAGCAAGCAGTTTGGTGCTTTTGACTACAGCAGACAGACACTGTGACCACCGTCAGAGTTTGAGCATTCATGTTGAAATTAGCATAGAGAGTAATCATACTACTTATGCTTTTAGAAACAATGAAAATATGAGGGTAGGTCTCATGTTTGCATGCTCATCTACCGATCAACACCTTATTCCTGTTTATGCTCACAAAGTTCAGTCCAAGGATCACAGCAACACCTCCATGCATTTAAATTTATTCACGGATTGAGCTTTTCTTTTCCCCCTTTTTTTTTCTTTAATGAAAACAGATGTCAGAATTACCCAGACCTTAATGCCTACTGCCCATCTTGCTTTGCATATGGTTGAATCTCACACCCCATGTGGGAGGGGCTTGGGTGTTAGAGGGCTGCAGACTGCCAGAACTGACCGTGGGTTCTCCTTGCATTTTTAGCTGTACACACAAACTCTGTTTCAGTGGGTAGTAATATGTGTCTTTTAAAGTTGCAGGAGCTGTTTCTTCCCCCCTGGACAATACTGCATTCTATGTCTCCATTGGATTTTTCCTCCTCTTGCTCACTTTTGTGGTTACATCCATTTTTCTTAAATACAAAAAGGTAAAATCAAACATAAATACCTGACCGTCCTTCCTTTGTTCCTACCAGACTGTTTCTTCTCTAAGACTGATTTCATTGTGTGTTTTTTTTCTTCCAAAGCAATTCAAATATGAAAGCCAGTGGCGAATGATACAGATGATAGGGCCATCAGATAATGAATACATCTACATCGACTTCAGAGAATTTGAATATGATATAAAATGGGAATTTCCCAGGGAAAATCTGGAATTTGGTGAGCAACCCATAAGGTAAATCTCAATACTGGAGCAGTAGTCTGTGCTGTACCAGCAGAGAATAATACTGGCATTTTGTGTCTTTGTAGGACAGGTCCTCGGTTGTGGGGCCTTTGGGAAAGTAGTGAATGCAACAGCTTATGGAATTAACAGTGCAGGAGATTCAGTCCAGGTTGCAGTCAAAATGCTAAAAGGTATGATAATCTCTGGTGCCTTCCACAAGCAGTGATGTATTCTAGTATCTCCTAAGTAGAAGAGGCATTAGAAATCCCCCTTCCAGAGAAAACTTGTAGCAGTTACACCTTGCAAATTCTTGGCTTCAAAATCCTTTCAAAGTGCATTCAAAACCCTGTTTCATTTTGGAAATGAAAGGTATTGCTGAAGTGCTTTCATCCTGCAGCACGTTGCATTTTGCTCTACACACTACAGAAAATCTGTGTGGGGAAAAACGAAGAGAAGTGCAAAACCGAAATCTGGTGACTGTGACATTTGGTGTAAGGCCTCTTTTTCTTATAGTGCTGTCTAGCTCTGGCAAGCCCTTTGCCTGCTGTGTCTGAGCCAGCTTGTTTCCAAAACTTCCAGCACCATTTCCTGTAGTCTTTTTTCTTGATGATGACACAAAACAGTTTATTTCCATCCCTCCTTATGAATAAAGCTACTAAACTTCAAATACTCCTTTCTGCTGTGGTCTGGCCTCTCTCCAAACTGTCTTGACTCCTCATAAAACAGTGTGCAGGGGCAAGCCTCCCTGGCAGCAAGCAGAGGAGGGCTGCCTCACTGTGTCCCAGTTAATCACAGCCCTGTTCACAGAATGTTGGAGTGGTTTATACTGGAAAAGATCTCTAGGATCACTGAGTCCAACTGTTAACCATCACTGTCAAGTCCACCACTGCACCATGTCCCTCAGTGTCACATCTACATGTCTTTTTAATGTATTCAGGGATGGTGACTCAACCATTCCCCTGGGCAGCCTGTTCCAGTGCTTGACAATCCTTACAGTGAAGACATTTTTCTGAAAAGCCAATCTAATCCTCCCCTGGCACAATCTGAAGTTGTTTCCTCTCATCCTTTGACTTGTTACTTGGGAAAAGAGACTGGTATCCACCTCACCCACCTTTTGATATGTATTGGAATGAACTTCACACTGATAACAGCGCCCTACCCACGTGTGTGCCCACACAGCCCCTTCCTGCCAGCACTGCCATCCAGGTTCTCATCCCCCATTTCCACGTATGCAACAGTTTTAGGCTTCCTTGGTCCACTCCTTTGTGGTTGGCTATGGGGAAGCTCAACTTGATCATTTTGGTTCACATACCCAATTCACATTTTCACCAAATGCTCACTGAAAAACAAGACTAAACCTACTGGAATGCAGGGGGGGCTTCTCAGCTATTGGATTGCAGCTGGTTGTGTGCCATTAGTCTGCCATTTTTTTCTCTTAACATTTCTCTGCAACAGGCTTGACTGTCATTTTTTCTGTGCTTGGGAACACTTTAATATATTGCTGTCATTCCTTGCCAGCCCAAGAATGACAAATGTTGACATTTAATGACTGCTTTCCCAAGCTTTCAAATGATCACACACAAATTCAGTTTCCATCTTTGACTAAAACTTTTTACACTTTGGAAAGCATTTTTTTAGGGTGTTCCCAAATGTACTGTTAGTCCAATGAGTTTGAAATGAAGATTTACATGTGACAAAGCATCACAACCATTTAAATTTTCATTTCTTTGCCGGAGATTTCCAAATCTGTGTTACTACTTTTACAGAAAAACCTGATGATTCAGAAAAAGATGCTCTAATGTCTGAGCTGAAAATGATGACTCACATTGGAAGCCATGAAAATATTGTGAACCTACTAGGAGCTTGTACTCTGTCAGGTAAACTGAAATTGTGGAAAAGTGACAATTAAAACCGTTATAATAATAAGAATTAATTTTGATGTTCTTTACTGGCCCAAAATATGATGGAGATGAGCTGAAAGCAAATTTAAAGCCATGCATGTGTGCAGAAAAGGGTCAGTTCTGATTATATTGTCAGGAAGTGATACAGTGAACAGTCCTTCTGTTAGGATTTCCCCTTATGGTGGTGATGGTACTGGTATGAGCCAGTTTATTAAGTAAAAATGAAAAACTTTTCTGGTGTCAGGGACTTTTATATACGCATGATTATGATCACATAGGAAATTGTAATTTTTTTTTTAATCATATGTGTCACCAATTAATGGATAAAAAGATAGACGGGAAACAAAAGAAACTGAAAAATAACAGGGGTAGGAGGGACACAAAACCAAGAAATGAAAGAAGTAATTAATGGAAAGAGGGACAACATTCTAAAGGACCAAATGTGTAAACAAAACTGAAGAATAAAAAAAATAAGCAAAGGTGGGCTAAGACAAAAGTAGCGAGATATTATCACTGATTAATTATTGTGTGACTCATGTTATCATTGAGGTAATTTACACAGCTATTCTTGTCCCAAGAATTGCTTCTCTAGTCAGTCCAATGGTGAACAAGAGTGGGTGAAGAGAGGCTAAAGAACAGATCAGCTTGGGGAAATGCCAGGGTTTCACCCAGTGTAGGTCCCTATCATGAACTGTAACACCTGACACTGAAAAACTTAACAGATTTTCCATCATATTTATTTATTTAGTCAGAACTTATTATTCAGAATCTATTTAGTCAGAAAGACCAAACAGAACAGTTAACTTTTGTTTTCTCAATTTATATCAGTGGCAGTACTGTCAGGCACAGACATATGAGGAGTAAGAGAAAAGCAGAGAAATAGATTGTTCTTAGTGGCTTTAGCTGATTTAAAACTATACAGACTGTCACTGCCTTCTGGAACGGTGGGCAGGATGTGATGGTGTAGACAGGAGGGCTGCAGGAAAGACCTGCTTATTCTGGTAGGGTAGGGCACGAACACTCCCAGCCTTATCCAAGAGTCATTTTCAGAAGCATTTACATGGTTCTCAAGACTTTCCCATCCATCCTCTGAGAGACTTCACAGCTTTTTCCAGCGTGCCCTACCTTGCTTGTCAGTGGCTTTCTGACATAAATGTCCACAGATTCACAGTCAGTCTTTCTGGGCCAGAAGTGGTGGTGGCAGTGTGAGGCTTTGCAGGGTGATGTGTGACCACTCTGAGCTCCTGCTGGCTGGTCATGGTTTTTATCCAATCCTGCCTGGGACAGGAATTGGATGTATTTTTCCTTTCTTGAGAAACTGTCCTGACCAGTGCTCTACTCAGACACCTCCCCTTGCAGGGGGTATCCCTCATTTAGGTCCCCTCAGCAAGTACTCTTGGGTTTCATGTGGTCTTCTTGGGGGAAAGAAAAAAGAGTATTTCCAGAGCATGAAGGTTGCACAGATAAACAGAAAGATGTAGGTCAAAGGGTACAAATTCACATCAGCCAGATAACTAGCAGGGGTCATCTTTTGCTTGAACTCTGCATGGTTTAGAAAATATGTTGCATCTTTATAGCCTGTACTGTCCTCCCTGTTGCCATTGAGATGGGCAAGGATTTTTGTGTTTTTGTTAAGATTTTCAATACAGTTTGAGAGATGCTCCACAAGGACAAAGTTACACAGACTTCCCAAGGGACATTATAGTCAATAAGCAAATTCTCATTAGGTGCCCATTAGTACAATTTATCTACCTAGGAATGGAAGATGCTTGGGATGTTTTAATACAGATTAATCCTGAGAGAAAATGAAGCAGCATTAGGGCTTTAGTGGGGAGGTGCTATAAACAGCAGCAGGCATTTACATTTCCAACTGTTTCAGGACCGATCTACTTGATATTTGAATACTGTTGCTATGGTGACCTTCTGAACTACTTAAGGAACAAGAGAGAAAAGTTTCACTGGACACTGACAGATATTTTTAAACAGCAAAACTTCAGCTTTTACCACAATATCCATCAGGACCAAAATTCTAGGTAAGAATTTAGTAACAGTTTGATACTTTTTTAAACTGCTATTCCTTTCTAAGCTGCATTCTCACCTATGAAATTATTCTTGAGAATGTGCCTTCACATACTTTAATAAGTGATGCCTTGGGAGGAACTGAGATTTTGATTTTCCTTCTGGAGACTGCAGAAGACGATCTCTTGTTTCTCCTTCTGGTTTTGAGAAGAGTCATGTCTGTGTCCAGATTTTTAGTAGTAGTAACTGTTCATGTTTTTCACTGCAAAAGAGTTTCTGTGTAGAAGATTATGTGATACACTGTGTGAAACCTTTGAAAATGTGTTACCCACTCCAGGATGGGGACTTACCTGAAGTACAGTGGGAACACAACTCCGTGCAGAGAGGATGAATTTGAAACCATGCAAAGTCAAAACATAAATGTGACACTGGGATCAAATGGGATTGTGCTGTTTTCTGAGGAAGGTAAGAGATTAATTGATTATATCTTCAGTAATACTATATATAATATATTAAATATAAAAATAATGTTATTATTGTATTTATTGTGCTATTGATATGACTAGACTACATTCCATGACAAAAGAGGCCTCTTTCTATCATGTTTCTCTTCAGTCCTGGCAGGAATTTTACTGGAGAAGGATTCAACAGCACTTAAGATCAGAGGCTTATGTTTCTGCTCATGCTATACATAGTATTTGAATATGAAAATACTCACCTTTATTTTGTATCTGAGTGGAGGATAAAAAAGATGGACATTCTTTGTGATGTTACTCTTGGTAGGAGAATGTGAAAATCCTTACAACAGGCAGTGGAATTAATCAGAGAGTGAGGAAGTCCATGGAAAACTCATACTTTTGATTATTTTTTTACAGATAAAATTAAGAATGCAAGCACGCAGGTGGATGAAGAAGAGGATTTTAATGTGCTCACTTTTGAAGACCTTCTTTGCTTCTCTTATCAAGTTGCCAAAGGAATGGAATTTCTTGAGTCCAAATCGGTATGGTGAAGGGTAGCAAAATTTTCAGACAGAAAAGATGCTAAAAGTAGGTCAGTTTATAAAAGGCAGGTTGAAGAACAGAGCCACTCAGTGGCAAGCTTGAACTACACCTCCTTCCCTGGCTTAACAGCAAAGACTGAGTTGCAGTTTTAGGCAGCACCCTGAGTAAGAAGCAGCTGCACGGCCCATTTGTGTGTCTCCTTGCCACCAGCAACCAGGGTGTGCCCAGCTTGGCCATTCCCAAAACTGCTTAAGTGGAAGGAGGTGCCAACTCAGAGAGCAGGGAATTGTCCACCTCTGATACCAAACGCTGCGGAGCATTAATCCTGCCTTTCCTTCTAAGTGCATCCACAGAGACCTCGCTGCCCGGAACATACTGGTGACCCATGGGAAAGTGGTGAAAATATGTGACTTTGGCCTTGCCAGAGATGTAATGAACGACTCCAACTACATTGTCAGGGGCAATGTAAGTGCATGAGGGCTCTCTGGTTTCCATACCACTGTAAGAATTATAGGGAATTAAGAAAGAAAAGTTTCAAATTTTTTTAATTCCTTGTTGGCTTTGTGCATATCTGTATGGGCAATGCAAAAATCTCTGTTTTTCCTTCCCTTGGCAAAAGCAAACTCTTAGATTATAATTAAACAAATCAAGCTAGTTCTGTGAATGAGATGGTACCCATGCTCTTTCTAAAGCACCATTGATGGAAACACTGGGAGTTGTTTACTGTTGTGGGCAATAACGGTGTAGGACAACAGCATATGTGTGGGGGTGTGCCAGATGCTCTGGCTTTATGAAGAAGTACAGTGTGGATATCTCCATCTGGGCCACTCTATGCTTGAAGTCAGAGGAAGGAAGGTTGGTCTTCCAGGACTGAGCTTGTATCTTCCCCAAATAGTCATCTGAAATGGATGAGATGAATTGGCTCTTTAGAAGTGTCTATTACTCTCTGCAAGGGGAATGTCCAGGGGCTGCTGACAGAGACAGGGCTTTGCACACAGCAAACGTGAATCGATCACACTGGCAGTGAGAAGCACAGTGAGTCGCCTGGAAAGACTGTGTCACAGCCCTGTGTCACAGCCTGTGTCACAGCATGACCTGGCCTCCATTTCCCTGTCTGCACAGGCTCGATTGCCAGTTAAATGGATGGCTCCCGAGAGCTTATTCGAGAGGACATACACCATGAAGAGTGATGTCTGGTCCTATGGAATACTGCTGTGGGAAATATTCTCTTTGGGTACGTTCTACAATGGGACAAAAGAGCAGTGTTTGCTTTTGGCGGCTTCTGAATTAACACATATTCTCTGATAATTTCCACAGGTGTAAATCCTTACCCTGGTATTCAGGTTGACACAAATTTCTACAAACTAATACAAAGTGGATTTAAAATGGACCAACCATATTATGCTACAAAAGATGTGTAAGTGTATTCCCAAGTGATGCACAGTATGAGAATTTATACTTACTAGGTCACTGTTTGAATGACCTTTTATTTATTGTACACTGTATCTAAGCCAAAATTAGTTGCAAAATGTAAGATCTTCCTCTAAATCTAACAAAGGCTATCTGATCCTGCAGGTTTTGTTCTAAAGCAGAAGTGATCAACACTAAAGGTTATGTGTATTTGACAGGACTAATTCATTACATTTATTTAGTTGTGCCTTCTTTACCCAGGGAGCTTCTTATTCCTAGACCACAGATTTTTTTCCCCTTCTTTTTCTCCTTTTTTTTTTCTCTTTTTTCTTTTCTTTCCTTTTATTTTTTCCCCCAGAAGCTATGTTTTTTCATATTGACTAAATTTTTGGTGTGTTCTTTTCTAAACTTCATTTTTAAATCGAGCTTTACCAGGTTTTTTTCAGTTCTGAGTGGCTAGGGATCCTCTTAGATAAAAACCTTGCTAAGGAAGGGTTGGGGGGAAGCTAATTCTGTGCTCTCAGCACATTATTTTCAGCCTGTGCCTCTATGCCTGGATGGACTCTGCCTAGAGGTGGGTCCCAGGGAACAAGAGAAGAGAAGGTGACACAGAGCTGTGAGATCTGGAACATGGAGGAAAGGGAAGGACTTTGGGCTGGCTGAGCTCTTCTGGCAGGCATTTCATAGATGCTCTAGGGAGACAGTGCCTTGCTATGACCCTGCACTGTTCTTATCCTTGCCATATAAAGGCTATATAAATAAATGCACCATATAAATGTGATGATATTAAAAGTACAGCTGAATCTGACAGATTGACCCACGAGAGATTGCTGTGGGGGGTTTAAATATCAGGGAGCCTATTGTCCCAGTAACTTTGCAAGAGACTTGAGCAGTTAGGTACTGCACTGATGTCTGATGAAGCTGCAGTATTTCCAAGGTGGTGGTCAAATTTCAGAAAGATTTTTGTGTCGTCAAATTACATTAAAAGACTTGCTGTGAAAAGTGTGCTTAAGACTACATAGTCCACAAGGAGCAGGTTTAGCTCCAATGACAGACAGGCATTGTCTTCCTAACATTTTCTCTATGGAAGCTGGAAAGCAAACATCATGCATTATGTGTCTTACCACAATGAAGATTTTACTAAGGGCTCTGATTAAGTCACTGTAAGATCATTTCATCCTTTAGCCTTATCTTTCTACTTCTTTTCCTCTGATGCAACACTGTAATTCTTTCTACAAAATCATTCTGATCCCCATGATTCCCCATTCAAGCCCTGCAACTCCATGTAGTCACTTACAGAGAGTCCAAGAGCTAACATGTTTTCCATGCCATGTCTTTCTTTCTGCAGCTATTGCATGATGCAGTCCTGTTGGGCTCTTGATTCCAGGAAAAGACCCACTTTTTCTTACCTGGTTTCCTCTCTGGCCTCTCAGCTGGCTGAGGCAGAAGGAGCAGTAAGTAAACACAGGGAGATGAATATGTGAACGATGTCTGGGTTTGGGTTTAGGTTTTTGTGGGGTTTATATGTAGCTCCACAGATCACAATGAGCTGAGGAATACTCTCCTGCTTTCTATTAAAGTGCACATCTCTATTATGGATACATTGCCCATGGATCCATATAAGAGCTTGGGGCATATTTTTCTGCCATCAGAAAGAGTCCTGATCTTCCTGATGAGGATTTTCTTCCACTGCCTGCACTGGGACTCTGGAAAGCTGAAGTCTCCCAGCCTGTGCTGAGGGAATGGGCTTCCCTTGTGCAGCAGCCAGTGCAGTCAGCTTTGGTGATGCTGATAGCTGCCACTGGTGGGGAGCTGAGCATGGGCCAGAGGCCAGGGAGTCTCATGAGGGATCACCAGGCCATGTCCTCACAGACAGAATGTTGTATGTTGTTCCCAAAGGTCAAAATAATAAAGATTATCTGAGGAAGTCCCGTTCTATCCATACCAGATGTTTATACCTCTTCATGAAGGATAAACAACTCTTTTCCAAGCTACCAATCCCTGCTTGGGTATCCACTCTGGACTAGACACATTATTTCTCAGTGCCTATTTCATGGGGAGAAGCTTTACAAGTACAATAAAAAATAACAGAAGATATCTTTTATTTCCTGTTCTCAATTCCCTCTTCTCTAGGTTTACCATAACATGAAGAAAAATTTTGCCACACATCATTCCAGTATCAAAACTAAGCCTCATGTAAGCAGGGATGAGGAATCTTTGCTGTCACCAGTTGTGCTCCAGCATGAAAACCCTCAGGTTGAAATATAAACTGGGTTGTGGATTTTGTCTCAGTATTGTCATAAACTCTGTGTAGGGTATGTGTTTTATATCAGCTCTAAGAAAAGAAATTGTTAACAACTGCTGCACTGTTTGCATTTCTTGTGGGCCAGTCCATATTAATGTGAAAAATATATGTGTAATTAGTTTGTTTGAATTCAGCAAACACATCCATAGCAAGACAGGGGTTTTTCCTGCCTCTCTCCGACTGAATATCTCTTTTCCTGGTGTTATGTAAATAGTTGCCTAATCAACGTATTGAATTCATACTGTTCTTGACACATTGCCAGCAAACACGAGAGAATCCACATTTTTTAAATCAATGTTTACAAGAATCGACTATGCAGCTAAAGAGAGCTGGTGTGATTTCCAGAAGTGCTATTCACATCTTCATCTGCAGATGTCAGTGAGTGTTGGAAAAAAAAACCCTCACTGGAGTAACCAATTTTCGATGTCCATAATTTACAGTTCCATCAGTCTTGTTTCACAAGGAACTCTTAATCTGATGGAGTGTAACTGTCTTATCCTGGACATCTTGATGGCTGTGAAGTAGCTGATGGGTGTTCAGTTCAGCTGAGTTCATTTTATCAAGATTTAGTTACTCATGTGGCCTCTGCTCTGCCAGGCTAATTCTGCAGCTGCTGATGAGACATAGGCACTAGCAGGGGGGATTCCTTTCTATCTAAAATAAGTAACTAAAATAACCAGGAGTGATATTTCGATATAAGCTTCTACCTCCCTGCTTTGGAAAACCCAGGTAGCAATCTCCAGCTGGAAGTCTCACTTCAGCCTAGTTACAGCTAATTCCATTCATGGGGTTTTGTGTATTTTAATCACAAGTAAAAAATATTTCATTTTGATGAAACAATATTCTGTAATTTCGGAGTGTACTATCATCACTCCAAATCCATAGAATTCAGTATGTCTCTAACTTTCTCACAGACTCCCAGGACAATACCTAGGAGGCTTGATATGTTTTCAGTACACTTAAAAATACAGCTATTTTCATTATGAGGTTTAGGAATTTCTAAATACAACTTTCATCGTGACTAATAGGATACATTTGTCTACATCATAGTGGATCAAGATGAGAATACATTGATTAATAGTTTTTTTTCTCTTACATTTTAAAAAGTGCTAAGTACAGTTAGGATTTTTCAGAGCCATGTCTTATAAAATAATAACTGTTTGGATAGAATATGCTATCACAGATACTGAGCTGCTCCTTACTAACACTGTCTGAAAACAATGTAATAGAGTGATTATAATTTGTATATTTTTGTTAATGTAAATAATTACCAGTGAATCATCAGTTATTGTTGAAGAAAAATTTGGAGATATTTAGACAGAAATAAATTTTAACATTGCATTCTCTGGAAAGCGTATATTATTTTTAACATACCCATAACTGTTTGAAAGTGTTCATCTGCAAGATGTCACTGTTCAGCACTGTTAGCACACAGCCTGCAGTGGCTGCACAGCGGGACTTGAGCATCTTGTGCAGACAGGAGTTTTCAGCCTTCAAATTTGGAGTAACCTAACACTGAACTGGTCACTTCCAAGCCTGGCTAGCCCTAGAAACTAAGCAGATGTGAACTTGGCTCAAAGAGGAGCAGGTGAGAATCCCATGTACTTAAAAACACGGCAGGGAATTGTGTCACACGTTTATCCACAAGACTTGAAAAGTGCTGGACATAGATCATCTGGCCCCGGCATCACCACTGAGCTGAGACTTGGGAATATAAAGGAAAATGCAGAACCTTGGAACAACTGCAACTTCTCATAATTCACACATGAAAGGCAGTTCAGGCAACACAGCACTCCATGGGAAAGAGCAATCAGGGGACAAACCCTCCTGTAAGGGCTGAACTTGTGAGACGTTGTATATTTGCTTCTCCGCATAGAAGAGATGGATGAAACACAGCTACAGGAGGTATTGAGTGAAAAATAATTTCTTTTAGGATATTTTCTTTCCAGGATGCTTCCAACACAACTTAACAAAGTGGTGGTCCATTCCTGAGGCTTGTGCAGAGCATAGAAGGTGCTGTTTAGAGATCAGTTTCATGATTCTTGAAGGGAAATGCCTATATTTCTCTCATTAGGATCCAGACCCCTAATCTGTGCCTCCAGAAGCACCTTGTCAGGAGAAAGTGATGAATTCCCCCTGTAGTGGATGGAGAGAGTTAAGCTTGTTTGAAGACCGCCAGCAGTGAAGCCTTCAGTCGAGGGTGGATGCCTCAAGTTAGGCACAGACTGACAAAGATTCAGTAATCATTAATCGGAGGGGAAGAGCAATAGAAGGGTTAAGGTCAATTAAAAGCACTGAAGGGCAAAGGACATTTGAGCTCTCCCTCGTAACAGTAACAGAAATAAGAAGAAAGATAATCTGACAACCCAAACTGAAGGGCAGGATGGCGATGCTGCCCTGATTTTCCTTCCCCTCTGCCTGCAGGAGCGGCCCTGGCAGGCGGCAGCGCTGTCCCGCGGAGCTCTCCCGGCGGGATGCCGGGCACCGGCGGCCCCGCTGCTCCGCCGCAGCCGGCGCTAGGTGGAGCTCCGCCACCGCGGCTGCGGGCGGGCGGCGACGGGCGGGGGACAAGGAGCGCGGCACCGAGCCTGGGCCAGCCGCGGGGTCTGCAACAGAGCTGCGGGAGCCCCGGAGAGTAGGGCTGGGGGTGAGGGTGTCAAAAGGACTCCCCAGCCAAAACGTCGCAGCAAAAGCGATGCGGCAAACCCAGTATCAGCACAGACCACTCTGCCCACTCACCCCTCCCGAGCGTTTTCCCAACCAACCGTGTCCCTGTGTCACAGGCAGCAGGCACCAAAAAGGTAAGGGACCCTTCTCTGTTCCGATCGAGAGAAACTGGAGATGCTTCTCCAACACGTCATGCTTGTGGGGTTGGGATTCCTGGGATGGGCTCTGTGGGGTCCCTCTGAGAGAAGCTGAGACTAACCATGTGTTAAAGCAGAAGAGAAGAACAGAAGTGACCCTATCATTCATGCTAGCAGTGGCTTTCAGTCCACATATTCATGGAGGGCACTGTGAAACACGGTGAAGAAATCCAAGGCCATGGTTGCTCCAGAGCCATTTGCAGACAGGTTACGTTTTAAGAGTCGAAATTTCTGCTGGAAATTATTTCAGGGGCAAAAAAATTCAAAGTATACTGCAGATGAGTGAATCCCATGGAGCTGGATACACCAAATCTCATCCCCCTTCTCCCAGACACAGAATTAGATCAAGTGCTCAGTGGCTCGGGCTCAGGCTTCCCACTCTGCCACCTTCCCTCCTGCATCAATGGCTAATTAATTAGACCATGCAAAGAAAAACCAACAGCTTTAAAAAAACAGGCACAAAAAGACCCACTCAGATCTGTGGTTGGGAAGGCCTCACACGGCTTCAGAGAGACCTGGAACCTGAGGCCAGCTCCTTCTCATCCTTGGGGAGCATCCCAGCGCTATGGAATGGCCCAGCAGGAGTCCTTCCAGGCAGGTTGTCTGAGACCTGGGCTCAATCCATGCTTCCTGAAATGCTTTGTATTGAGATAAACAGTGCAGCTGCTTAGGGCAAGGATCCTGCCTTATAGGTCACTGACAGATTAAAACTTACGTGTTTAAGGCTGTACCAGAAAACTGATAGAGTAACACTCCTAGAAGAAGTGTGGGTGCCCTGGGGCACAATCTGGTTCAGATATCAGATGAGAAGGAATTCTGAAGACCTGTTTGTGGAGAGAGGTGGAAAAGTGGTGGTGCTCCTGTGGGTCTTCTCCACAGAGGCACATAAAGACTGGTGTGGGATCCACTTCACTTAAGCACTGCTTAGCTGGGATGAAAACAGACAGGAGATCCTGACAGTGACCCACTCCTGCTACCAGGTATTGCCTACACCTACTCATGATCCTCTGTACCACAGGTAAGCTTTGACACTTAGTTTTGGCTGCCCAGAGAAGCCTCTTTCCAGGTGCACTAGGATTCCTCTCCCTTCATTCTCTATGCATCTCCTAGCTGAAGAAAACCCAGAAATTACTCCTAATGAGAGCCCTCCAGTCCCACCAGTGCTGTGACTGCCTCATCTTCAGAGGAGGATTGGAGGCTTCAAATTATAAAAGGAAAGAGGTGCCTAGCTCTAGTTTCCAACAAATTCCTCTTGGAGAAATTACTATGTGATGTGTACTGGGCTCTCCTTCGGAAAAGCCTCCCATGATGTAGGGTTGCCCTGGGTGAGTAGGGGCTGTGAAGCTAAACTGAGGCAGGGCTGGGCTGGTCCCTGGGAGCTGAGTCATGGAGGAGAGCCTGGGGGAAGGGAGTGTGGGCCACAGCTGGGAAGCTGGCTCTGGATCTGCCTGGCCCTGCCTTCAGCTCCTTTTGGGGCTTCTTTTCAGACCAGAAACAAAACGAAGTGAGACTCCTTTTCCCTCTCAGGAGCTAGAATAAAATAACTGGGAGCAAACGTGAGATGGTGGAGAGCAGTCAGGTACCAATTTCTCCTTGGAGCCAGAAGGACTAAGGTTTTGGATTGGGGGATAAATGTTTGTCCAGGGAGAAAGATGAGTCTTCTTCTGCCTTCCTACACCTCTATTATAAGAAAAGGTCCCATGTGGGAGCCTTGGCCTGCTCCTTGCCAGGCCAAAGAAGCACTTGGCACTTCTCTGCTTTGGACTCCTACATTTGCTAGCATGAAATATTATCCACAAAGCACCATGGACCTTCAGGAATGTGTACAATTACGGTCTTGCAAACAACAAACCATCTACATGGGTCAGCAACACCCTGTGCTTCGGCTCACTGAAGGGGTTTGTAGGACTGGGCTTACCATGGAACACAAGGTTGAGGGAGACATCGGTATGGGGCAACCACCCCATGGCATCTTGCCATGGAAGGGCCTGGAGCACGGGGAATGGTGAGGAAAAAACAGCAAGACTAGCGTGTGTTGTGGAGATGGGGACAACACACCCAAGGGGATATATCACCTCCCTTCTAAGGTTTCAGAGCTGGAAATGTAGAAAATTAATCCGTGGGGAAAGCAATGAGGGCATCAGCCTTCAGATTGCCCTGAAGGGAGGGGGAGATGGCTCAGAGGCAGGAATCCTGGTGGCAAATGTGTGCAAATCATTTTACAGCTCAGATTCGGTGTTTTGCTTGGCACGGGAGACAACACTTGCGTTAGTAGCTCCATCCCAGCAGCTGCGCCGGGGCCTGCGGTTTCCCGGAGAGCAAAGTGGCTCTGGACGAGGACTGGGAGACCGGGGGCAGCCTCTGCCGCGGTCTCCCGTGCCGGCCGTGCCTCGCCGCAAAGGCGAGAGCGTGAGGCTGGGGAGCACCGCGCTCCCGCTGCATCCCGCACCGGGCGCTGCCGGGCCCGGGGAAGATAACAGCGGCCCTGCCTGCTGCCGGGAGCGTCCGTGGGTGGGCAGGGGGTGTCCTTGGGGGGCAGAGGCGACAACAGCCGAGTTCTGGGCTGCCCTCCCGTGAGAGGGACTGCCCCCGCTCCCTCCCTGTCCGCGCCGTCGGGGCCATCCGGCGGGTACGCGCTGCCGGGTGACTCACGGCTCCCGGGACCGGACCAAGTCCCGGCCGTCCCAGGAGGGGCACGCCAGCAGGGGCCGGGCACAAGCGCTCTGCAGGCAGCCGGGGCGCCCTGCTGCGGCCTTCTTCCTCTGTGACATTTTAAAAAGATAATAAAGTAAGGTAAAGTCAAGTAAAGAAAGGCAATAAAACAAAAATAAATCCAACCAAGGCTATTTCCTTGGTCAGCAGAGGTGTGCTAGCCACTGGATCTGGGAGGCTGGGAACACCCTCACCAGCCTCTGGCTGCAGAAGCCTCTGGGGTATGATACGACTTTTTTTCCTTCTTCTCTGTTTACGTTCCTGTTTCCTGAAGGGGAACAGGGCCATGTGAACTCAGGCCTGGCAGCACCTGTGCAAAGAGGCAGGGCTGGCCGGGGCCGCAGGGCCGGCCGTGACTGTGCTGGTGCAGGGCGGCTGTGCCCCGGCCAGGCACTAGGTGCCACCTTCCTTCCCCGCCTGCTTTCTTCCCAGCAACGCGAATCCACTCGGGAGCGAGCGTTCAGCATCTAACCCCGTCCTAGAGGCATGTGCTTAAACAAGACGAGTATCAACCCCACGATAAAAGTATTGGGTTATTCTGCAAGGTAATCTACATCAAAGCCTCGGGGGCTGCCGGCTTGAAAAGATCCAAGATGTTTTCTAAGTCCTTATCATGTCTGTGCTTAGGGGGAGTCATAAATTCCACAGGTCGGACTAACTAACACACGATTCCTCCTTCCCTTCTCTCTCCATGGCCGCCAAAGGGCTTTCCAGCGGGCTCTTTTTTTTTTTTTCTTTACCTTGCAAACAACGCTCCCGGTTCCGTGTCGTTAAGGTGCAGGGAGACGGAAAGATCCTCCCCTCCCACCCCGAGATTCCCCCAAATCACAGAAAAAAGGAATTATTTAAACCACAAAACTAGTAGAAATAAAGACGGTGAATCCGTATCCCCACAGGCGTCCCACCGTGTGGGAGCAGTCTGTGGAGGAGGGATCGCGGGCGCTGCACAGCACTCGGCTTATGGGCTTATGGGGATGTCTCTGACCCCTGATGGGAGTCCTCGGGCTGTGCTGCTCGACGCATTATCCCGAAGCCCCGAAGCGAGGTGTCCGCTCGGGATCCGAGCAGCGCCTGCCCGGGCTCCGAGGGGCGGCAGCGGGCAGCAGCGCCCTGCCCCGCCACTTCCCCGCAGCCATGCCTCTGCCCTGACTTCCCCCGGAATAATGTCGGAAATTATTTTTTCAGATCAAGTAGTAAGGCTGAGGTTGAAGGAGGAAAGCGGGGAGCCCAGCGTCTGCCCAGGAGGCAGCCCTGAGTGAAACAGCCCTAAGGAGAAAATATCGATTTCAACGTGGAGAGGAGGGAGGAGATACTTCCCTGCGAACGGTGTCCCCCATCAAACACTTGTCAGCTTGAGAGACATTGGGTCGCAGTTCTCCGCTCAGGATATAACGAAATAGGAAAAAACAAAACAAAACAAAACAAAACAAAACCGAAGGGGGAGATATCAGGCCTTCGCCCACGCTCCGGTGTGGGGATCTGATCCCAGGATCCCTACTCCTCTCCCGGATCTGCAGCTCTGGGCTGGAGCCGGCGGGAAAACCCGAGACGAAAGTGGAGAGGGAGCGGGCAGAACGGAGGGGAGAAAAGGGGTGAAACCCAGCCGAGACATACATCTTCTATCCCCAGCCTCTTTGAGAAGCCCCGATGGCTGGCTAGGGCCGGCGGGGGGACAAATCCTGTGCCAGTCACAACGAAAGGGCCAGAAGGACCGCAAAGGCATCTAGGAGTGGATCGGGATCCCTCTTACTTTAAGACAAAAGTGTCCCGGGGCAGCATGTCCCTATCCCCAGCAACTGCCATGGGTCGCGTCCGGGGAGCAGCTGCGCAGCGGCGGAGGATGCTTCGAAGCATTTATCTGCGGGGGAAGCGGGACTTGCCCCATCTCGCCGCCGGCTCCGGTTAGGCTAGGACTGGTGGGGCCCGATCTTCCCGAGTCCTCCCCGTACTGGGGATCACTGTCAGAATGGCAAAGTAGCGGAGCAGCGTTCTGGCTGCCGTTCCAGGTAGCCGCGGAGCTGCCTCGAAGCCTTATCCTGTTCCTCCACCGAAGCCCCGAGACGCTCATCCGATCCCGTGGCCGATGGCCCCCAGCCCTGCCAGCTCGGGCTGGCGTCGGGTCTCACCCTAAAAAAGCTGCCACCTGGCTGCCAGGGATTCACTGATGGAGCCATAGACACTGAATCGGGTTTTTTCGGGGTTGATCAGGGTTGTAGTGCGTTTTATTACAATATGTCCAGAGTTTTGTCGTTTTAATGGCCCCCTTTCTCCGTTTATGGCATCATCAAATTCACATCTGCATAGATCGGCTCTGTCGGTGCTTATCGGGAGAGGCGATTACATTGAAGGGACACAGCATTTCCTTTCCAGAGTGACATTTCAGTCTCCTGCTCCGACAGCGCTGGGAGCTCCAAGCCCCTCTCCCCTCTCCTCGTTACCCTCCCGTCGGGGCGGGGGAAAGTGTCGCGGTGGGAATAGGCAACAGAGAGAGAAATTCCCTCCAGAGAAAGCGTCTGGCAGGCATCTCTGCATCCCTGCTGTTGTGCTGCTGCTACCGTAGTGTCGCAACCGCGGCCGCCTGCGACAATTTGTGAGCAAGTGACGATGTGGGCGCAAGTATTCCCGACTATGTGGAGGGTGGGGATACCCCGTTCCTCGCATCCAAGACATCCACAGCGACTCCGAGGGGGCCATCTGTGGCCTCTTCCCAAGGAGACATACTCCATCCTTTCCTACTTGAGCGTCCTGGTCTCCCAGGGCCACTGACACTGGATCCCTTGGGACATTCTGAGAGAGGTTATGAATTACCCATACTGGCGTTAAAGCATGGCTCCATGTCAGCCCCACGCTCAGCACCAAAGGAACGATAGAATGGGGGGAAGGAGAGGGAGATTTTCGGAGACTGGGTTCGGGATATTTGCCTTTGCAGAGCTGAAATCCGCCCTCAGCTGCAAGACGCCCCGTCTCAGAGACACTCCTTGGTGTGCAGAACAGCCACCCACGTGGAAGGAAAAGCACCCTTGGGACACGACCACGTGGATGTCCGTCTGTAATACTCAGGACTCGAAGGTCCGGGACAGTGCGGGGCCCGTATGGGGAGCCCCGGTAGGACCGAGCCGCAGCCGCCCCAAGGAACCGGGAAAGCCGGTGAGAACGGCTGAGACGGTGCTGCGCTGCTCCGGGGAAAACTGCTGGGAAAACGGGGGGACGTTCCCGTCCCCATCCATTTTTTTCTCGGCGGGTGAAAGGTTTCCTCGCTGTGTCATGGGAAAAGATGCGAATATGCAAACGTCGTCTCGCATTGTCCCCGCTCAGGGTGAAAAGTTAAAGCATGAAAGCGGCGGGGGGAAGCTAAGAGGGGGTCGCCTCTTCAAAGGGGACTGGCTGGGCTGAGGGAGTCGGCTGCCGCTTGCCTGGGAGCCGCCCTTCCAGAGCCAGCATTTCCAGAGGGTTTCCAAGGAGTTGGGGAGGGAAGAAGCGTGTGTGCCTGGAGGGACTAGCCGTGGGGTTTCCCGCGGACTCGGCTGCGCTACAGGGAAGGAATCGCCCAATGAGGTGACAGGCTACGGGAGGAGGTTGATGGTTCCCTCCTTGAGGAGAACCATCCCCTGCCTCGATTCCAAGACCCCCCGGGCGGTGGGATTATCCGTCCTCTCTCCAGCGTGGATCTGAGGGCAGAGGGTGTTTTAGACGAAGGCACCCTCAGTCCCCGTCCTTTCCCGGACCTGCTGGGCGCGCCCGACCTCGAAGCTCTGCAGGCACACGCGGAGGAAGGAGACAGCGCCCTTGGAGGGGGGGGATTTCTTCTCTTACCTCGCCTTCATCGCCCATGACCGAGCGGGAGCGGGTGGGAAGCGTTTTACAAAAAGCAGTAGGCCGTCGCGGTGGAGTTTGTTGCTCAAAACAACCACGACAAAACGGCTTTGTAGATTTTTAATCAAAACTCCCTCCTCTTCCGCCCCTTCCCCCCCCCACCCCCCAATCCCAAAGCACAGAGAAGAGCTGGCTAAAGGGCTGCCTACAGATCGGCCGTGATACACGGCTCCCATATTCCCACCCTCGCCCTTAGATCTCCCTCCCTGTCTTTTGCAAGTCTCTTGATTTCATCCTTTGAACCTGTGATTGGAGGTTAAAGTGCACCAGGTTGCAATGGAAGGAGGAAGCTCTTAAACAATAAAGGCTTGAATATTTAGCTGTGATCAGGTCGCTGCCCTCTCCTTATCTTTTTAAATGCAAATCGTCTTTTAGGGGTAGTAGCTATATACCCAGCGCCTCTCCACGTCACCTGCCTTTGGTGTGTCTGGGCCATTACTAATAGAGCCTTGTAAACAATCGTTAATCATGTAAGGACTGCCGGCCATTGGATTCGGACCGGGAGCGCGGAGGAGCGCGGAGCGCAGCGCGGGGCCGCGGCCCCTCCGCCTGCCCCCTCCCCGCCCCGGGCAGCCCGGCCCCAGGCAGCAGCAGGCGCGCCGCGGAGAGAGCCCCGAGCAGCATGTGGAGAGCCGCCGCCGGGGCCCCGCCAGCATGTACGTGAGCTACCTCCTGGAGAAGGACGGGCCCATGTACCCCGGCCCGGTGCGGCACTCGGGGGGGCTTAACCTGGCGGCGCAGAACTTCGTCGGTGCCCCGCAGTATGCGGACTACGGCGGGTACCATGTGAACCTCGACGGCGCCCAGTCCCCAGGGCCGGCCTGGCCCGCGCCCTACGCCGCCCCGCTCCGCGACGACTGGGGCACCTATGGCCAAGGGGCGCCGCCGGCCGCCGGTGCCGTCCACGGCCTCAACGGGGGCTCCCCCGCCGCCCCCATGGCCTACAGCCCCGCCGACTACCACCACCACCACCACCCGCACGCCCACCACCACGCCGGCCCCGCGCCCCACTGCTCCGCCGCCGGGGTCATGCAGCCCCTCAACGCGGCCAGCGCCGCCGCCAGCGCCGCCCCCGAGCCGCTCTCCCCCGGTGGGCAGCGCCGCGGCCTCTGCGAGTGGATGAGGAAGCCGGCGCAGCCCCCGCTCAGCAGCCAGGGTAAGTGCGGGCCGGGGCCAGGCGGGCGGGGGCTGACCCGCCGACGGCTCCCCGGTACGCCGGGCAGCCCGGCAAAGCCTTTTATCGGGGAGAGCTCCCCGAAACAAACCCACCCGAGGGTCAGTCCTCGGGAGAACAGAGCTGCCGGGCTCTGCCGACATCCCGTCCTCGCTGCTGAGTGCGGGGCCGGCAGCGGCAGGAGCGGTGCTCGGCCCGGGAGCAGCCGCTGCCGGCCCCCAGGGACTCAGTGCCCAGGGCTGCGCTCCGGCGGAGCAGGATGGAATGGCCCGAATCCCGAGGAAACGCTCACTCTTCCTCCCACCTATCCGCTCTCCTGCTTATAGCCACTTAGAAGATTTTTATAACCAATTATAGTCATATAAATCATCGGCCGGTGTCGCTCCGCATTTGTTTCTGAGTCACTGGGCGCCTGCCCTTTATTAAGGTCTCCGTGCGGCCAGGCCTCCCGAGCGACAGCAGCGGCCACTTGCCAGTCCGATCTCTGCGGGCCGAGCTGTGGCCCCGGCCGGGCCGTGCCGTGCCGGGCCGTGCGAGGGCGTGCCCTCCCGGGTCAGGCCGTAGCCGGCGCCGCTCTCCCTTGTGATGTTAATCCCCCGCAGACCCTCTCTTTTATTCCCACCGTGCATCTGCCGGGGGACGTGCGTGTCCTGCGCTTTGATATACGCCTTCCACGGCTACTAATTTCTCTTTTCCTTTTTCAAATCCCCCTCTTTTTTTTTTTTTTTTTTTTAAAATTTGTTTAAAAACCCCCCCCCCCAAAAAAAAAAAAAAAAAAAAAAAAAAAAAAAAAAAAAAGATGACGACTTTCGCAGTAAATAATGACTTATGGCATTCCCCTCTCATCCCCTGCCTTGCGTGACTGACGGCAGGGCCGGCGGGGATACCCCGGTCGGAGCGGAGCGGGAGTCCCGGCTACGCCTGTGTCCTCCGCGCCCCGGGGTAAAAGCCTCGGTGTCCCGGTGCCGGCCGCCGGCACAGCCACGTCCCGAGTGCCGGTGGCGGCGGAACTCTTACAGGCCCACCGCGCTTCCCACAGCAGCCCGTGGTGTTCCCACAGTTTGGGCTTGTGCGGTGGTGGCCGGTCCCTTGTCTCCATTCAAATTCTGCCTTTGGAGCCAGTGTTTATGTTAATGTGCAAAGCTGGGGGGATGAAAGCGCCTGCCGCCATTTGTTCAGTAGTGGTAATTCAAACAGAATGTGGCTGTCATTAAGGCTTTGAGAAGGGTTTTTCTTTGATAAGATCTCCTTGTCCTGCATTGTTTGGGATTGTGTTCCCTATTCACTGGCTCTGGGGAGTTTTCTCTGATCAGGCTTGTATCTTTACAGGGTGCTTTTGTTGTGGTTTGCAGAGAGTTTACCTGAACAAAGTCAGCCTGCCAGCCATTAAGCACCTTGGGGGCAGAGACTCCCCGCCTCGGCTCCCTGGGGAACGGGAGGGCCGGGGACATAACCAGTTAAACAAGAAACCCTCGGGAAAAAGGAGGTCACCGGCTGCGGCGATGCGCTCTCACCGGCTGCTCGCTGGCATTCGCCTTCGGATTCCGTTGGGTTTTCGGCGTTTGGTGTGGTTTGGGGGTTTTTTGTTTGCTTGTTTGCTGGCTTGGGGTGGGTTTTTTGAGCTCTGAAGTTGCACGTCACACTTCTAGGCTTTCCAAGAAATCCCTTTAGCCCTCATGCAGTAACAGAAAAGGGGGAGCTGGGCCGCTTCACGAGTGGTTCCCCGCGGCCGCTCCCGATTCTCCGCCCTTAGATTTCTGTTTCTCGTTTAGAAACGAAATAATCGTGCCCTGATCGGGCTTTTTCTTTCTTTCTTTCCCTTTTCCTCTTTCTCTATAAAAAGTTTGCTGTCGCTAGGGAAGGCAAAACGAAACCAGAAGCCAACAAGTGCACAATAAATGTGTCCCCATGCAAGGCAGGGGTGTGCGGTGGGGCCAGGGCTGGCAACCGGGGCTGGGAGCCTGCGCCCGCCGGCATGCCTGGCATTGATGCCCCATGTCCCTAGGGAACTGAGGAACGTCCCTTCTCCTCTGCTGCTCTCAGCAGAGCCCAGGGCTGGGGGAGGCGAGCAGCAAGCCCGGGAGGGGGATATAGGACAGCTCCTGATCTCTCTGCGCTGCAGAGAGGATGGCTGCGCTCAACTTTCCCCTTTGGCTTTGACTTTCTCAACTCTGGCTTTGTGCTCCGCAGTTAAAACCAGGACGAAAGACAAGTACCGCGTCGTGTACACCGACCACCAGCGGCTGGAACTGGAGAAGGAGTTTCACTACAGCCGCTACATCACCATTAGGAGAAAAGCGGAGCTGGCCTCCAACCTGGGGCTGTCGGAGAGGCAGGTCTGTCCCAAAAGTGGTGCTCCACGTGTGGCCGGGCTGCGCGGGGGCAGGGATGCGCGGGGACAGGGATGCTCGGGGACATGGATGCGCGGGGACATGGATGCGCGGGACGGGGCTGCGCGGGGACGGAAGGGATGCGCTCTCGGTGAAAGCCCCTGAGAGGGGGATACATCCCCGGCGAACTCTCCCCCTCACTCCTCTGTCCACCTCCTGGCAGGTGAAAATCTGGTTCCAGAATAGGCGGGCGAAGGAGAGGAAGATCAACAAGAAGAAGCTGCAGCAGGCGCAGCCCGGTGGCGCGGAGCCCCTCAGCCCCAGCGCCTCCTTGCAGGGTCCCGCGGCCGGGGCGGCCGCCGCCGGGCTGGGCCCCGCCGCCCCGCAGTGACAGCGGCCGGGGACAGCGGCGCAGGGACTGCTGGAGGACGCGGAGGATCGGGCCGGGCCGGGGGGCACGGAGGGAGCGGCCCCCCCGATGCACTACACCGCCCCGCGGGGCCGGCCGTGTGTACAGGTGTACAGTGTATGTGTCTCGTCGTCCGGGGGAAGCGTGTCCATCGCTTTATTAATATTATTATTATTATGTTTGGGTGCTTTTTTTACCCTGGAATTTGTTAGAAAAAGTGGGGGTGCTGCCTGCCAGTCAACCCCCGGTATATCTCAGGGATCGGTCCAAAAGACCTTTGCAATGTTGTTGGGCTAATGATGAATTTTAGCAGGAAAAAAAATTAAAGCACATTTTTTTTATTTTATATTTTATTTTATTTTCTTCTTGCAACTATGAATATGCAAAATGTTCATTCTGCCCCGAGGGTCAGAGCAGACAAGATAAGGCACTGTTTAAACGTTCAGAAGTGAATTGCTTAATGTTAGACACTTGTAAAAGAGCCCATAAATCCAGTGCAGATAGTCATCCATCCAGATTTATTAGCTGCAGTGCAGTGAAATTGAAAGAATTTCATCTGTTCTGAAAAAGGTGTCCTGTCATGCTGAAGTGAGCACCTTGTTTGCATGTGCAATGTCCCTTCGGTTAAATTATGTGCTGTTTCTCACATCCTTACAATTTGTATCTTCTGGGGGAGGGGCTGTTTCAGTTGATTTTCCAAAGTTCCCTTGATTTTTATCAGCTTTATGTAGCCTTCATCCCAGCTCCATCAGAAACTGAAATCCTTGGAAAAGCCCTGCGCTATATCGGAGCCTACTTTGCACAGGCTGTGGCCCATTTCCACTTGCTGGCTAGATGGAGGGGACCAAGGTAGAGAGGCCAAATGACTCACTTAGAGATGAAAACAAGAAAAGTCCAGCTGATTTGGCCAAATCACTCTGCCTGTTTGCCATATGTACTTCTTACTTAGGGATGGGAGAAGTCCAGCTGGGAAGTGAGGCCAGGCTGGAGCAGCCACGCTGCAGCCAGTGCCCTTGGCTGGGTGTGGAGCCAGCTCGTGGGGGCCTGGGCCCAGCAGGGGTGATGGGAGCACTGTTCAACCCCAAACACATTATGTGGATTATTGACTTCCTCAGGATTTAGCCCCATACTGTTCAGTTTTGGTCATCAAATTTATTTAAGTTATTCCATTTGCCTTCTTTGGGGCACTTTGGCTTTTTCCTTGTTGAAGCTTTTCTTATCTTTTTGCTAAAAGCCAAAGCAAGTGCTAGCAGCATCTACAGAACTGCGTGGGGAGAATGGTCTGATCAGGGACTGACCCTACGGACAACGCAGCTCTCTCTCCCTAAAGGAACTTGGGGAAGTGGAAAGCACCAGCCCCAAAGCTTCTGCACTGCGTTTTTTTCTGCATGCAGCTCCATGCCTTGCAGGGCCAGGGGCTGGCAGTCTGAGAGCAGACATGTGGCCGTGCAAACCTGATCCAGGGCTCCTATTCCTGGGAGAAGAGTGTAGTGGGAGGCAGCAGCTCCAGTGCAAGGAACCTGCTTGATTTTCTGCAGCATACGTGGTCTCGGAAGCGGGGCTGGCCAGGAAACACGGGTGCAGCCCAAAGCAGTAGTGCTCATTGCACATGGAGTTGACGCAGAGCATGTCCTGATGGGTCCAACGTCCATGGTTTGTTCCTGATCAGAGGGAGGCAGGAGCCAGATTCATCCTTCCGTGACTCTTAAGGAGTCCTTGGATCATTCTGGAGGAGCTGCTGGGGACAACCAGAGCTGAGCAGCACCCAAACCGAGGGTCTTGGCTCTGCAGCACCAGCCTAAAGCAGCGCAGAGCAGTTGCACCAGGGCTCTGGGAGCTGCCAGGGCTTTGCAGGCACCATGGCCCACTCCTCCCTCCGCGCTCGCCGGGCACGATGGCTCAGGGGCGGCAGCAGCCCCGGGCGGGGCCGCCCCTTCGAGGATGTCCTCTGGCGCCCGGGGCCACCCCCGCAGCATTGATCCCAGCCCGGCTGCTGCCGGAGCTGCTGCGCGTTGCTGCGATACGCCTGTCAATAAACCCTGTTTGGATTGTGGAGCAGAGCGCAAGGTTTGTTTGTTTAGTGGTTAGAGGTTCAAAAGTCGGCATTGTCCCACTGCAAATGAGCACAAGTTTTTTCTCCCTAAGGAAAAGCTGGCTGTGCTGAGTGGGAGGGAGAGATATCGGTGGGCCCTTTTATTTGCTTCCAGGAATAATTAATGGCAGTGAGAAAAAAGATGACCACGGAGTTATGAAAAACCATCAATAAGTAAATTAGTCACAAAGGATCTGAGGATTTAAGAGGTGCTGCTCGCTGTAGTTTTGTTGGCATTTACCCATGCCCCTGGGGCTGCGGTGACACGGGACTGACAGAATCCAGGACTCCTTACTGCAGTGGTGGCACACAGCTTCTCCTGGCACCAACCCAGGCATGGCAACATTTGGGACAGTCCCTATATTCTTTCAGTAGTGTACTTCGTGAGTTGGGCTTATTTTAATGCTGAAAGTGTGGAAAATTTTTTTCTTGCCTGCAAGACTTTTGATAAAGACAGTTGCCCTCATTAAGGTGAACTGTTTCTGTCCACAGAACTTTTTTCTCCAAAAAGTTCATTAGAGGTACATAAACTAACCTGCACATTTTAAATATCCTCATTCCAGATCTCTTGCTCTTTGTTAGCAAACATTCATTTTCTGAGCTCTCCTCAAATTCTTAACTCTGGCAACTCAGAATTCAGATTTCTGAGTGTAAGAAACAAGTAACCAAGCAAATCATATCCACTCCAATTTCAAGTATGTTCCCTCTCCCATCCCCATGCAAGCAAACCATCATATTCCTTTACATTCCTCATGCACCATAAAGGAGTATAAAAAGGAACAAACTGGGCATCCTGTTTATTTGAGTCGATATTTACAGACACCTGGACCAGCTCATAGGTGAACTATGACATTGAACCAGAAGCTCTGTTTGTCAGAGGTGAGCTGGTTATGGTGACCCCTCCATGGATGTTTTCAATTCTCACAGAGCTCCATGCAGTTCTGCAGCAGCAAGCCAAACTAGACTGGTGGGGCTCAACAGATCAGAGCTGCTGCACCTTGCTTGCCTGACAGGGGCTGGAGCAGGAGTCCATGAAGAGAAAAATCCAGGAAATCAGAAGGTTTGGCCCCAAAGTTGCAAGATGGAAGTCTTCCACTCTCCCTCTCTTGTCAGATTTTCCTGCTCCTATCACTGTACAATAACAAACCAATTGGTATTCCTTCTCTTGGATTAACTCTTAGGCAAATGCCAGTTTCTCAAGACAGCTCTTTGAGTTTGGGGTAAGGGATGACAACACGTGTCATAGCCCATCATAGCAAGAACAGTAAGGTCCTTAGAGAACTTGAATGGCATCTAGAACAAATGTCTGCTTTCTCTGATCTGAGGTATCTTTTAGGGGCACTTTATGTGTCCTCTGTCTGAAGGCTGAGCACTCTGGATCTGCAGAATGAAGTCAGGAAGCTTTTATAAAAAGAAAAAAAATAGAAATCTTATATTAGGAGTCAGCAACAACTTCAGACGTATTCTCCATGTAGCATTTTCTCCACACAAGTGACCTCTGTCCAGGCTGTTTCCATCTGTGGATGAAGCAGTGGCTAGAAGCATATATCCCAGCCACCATGCAGAGGGCAGAGCCCATCCTTCAGAAACTGAATGGGGTTTGCTATGGCTGCCTGAAATCATGGCTCCAGAGGACTGTGTGAGGCCATAGGTTTCTTCTTGCTACTCCATCAGCAGCTGGTGGAAAAGGCAATCATGGAGCTTACAATTCTGTTGACACAGCTCTGCTGTGTCATAGCCAAAATTCATGACCAAATACTTTCCCTCCGTCCCACACAAGTCATGGAGCTGTGTGCTGAAGTTTAGAGCAGCTAGAGCTGAAAGCAAACCTTGAACTGATGCCAGAAAAGCAGCACTGGAGGCCTTCCAGGAAGCAAACAGCTCGTGAATGGTAACAAAATCAGCAGGACACAAGTCTGTTGAGGACAGTCCAGCTGCCCTGGCAGCTCAGCAAGGGGACAAGGCCACCTTGGCCATCATGGATGCATGGCCTGATGCAGCAGAGTACAGGTGCTAAGGAGGTGCAGGCTAGGAATCTCCCTAACAAAAGCAGCTCTGGTTACTGTCAGAAAGCCATGGCAGCCAAGTGTCAGAAACCTCTGGGGACAGATGGGAACAAACTCTCCTTAGCAGCCTTCTAGGGTTTGCTCCAGAGTCGCTCTTAGATGGAGCAAGATGTTCCTGCTCTCCTCGCTGATGAGGAAGGGCTGTTTCCTTCTCACCTGCATGTTCTGCCATGCTGTGACTCAGGTGAACACAGTTTCTTCTATTTAATGTCTCAGCTTCTGCAGTGACCCCACTTCCATTCTCAGTTTTTGACACTTTTGGAAGTCAAACTTACCCTCCTTCAAAGAGGGCAACAGAGAGTTACTTGCAAAGAAACAGGAAAAAATTTGAGCTATTCACAAAAACAAACAATTTGTTGCCAGGAGACTGGAATTAGAGACTTGAGAATCCTTTTCAAGCCCTGGATTTCTAAATTGAGGTATCATCTGTTTTGGGATGACACCCACTGGATTCCCCTGCTTCAAAGTAGGGAAAGGAAAGGAAAACAGAAGATGAAAACTCATGGATGATTCTCATTACACATTCACACAGATGTCTAAATACGAGTCTGTGGTATCCATTAAACTCCGGACCAGTTAACCACTGGTAAATAAAATGAATAATTTTCTCATTGCTCTTCATTTCCTCTAATTAAACACTAACTAAGCTAAACTAGTATCTAATGCAATCTGTATAACAGATATTCTATTTAATGTAATATTTAACCTATTGGTCCAGATACGTGTTTTGACTCAATTTTTCAAACTAAGGGAAGTCCATCATTACTGTTCTTCAGTGTGCTTCATAGAATCATGTAATAGTGTGGGTTGGAAGGGACCCTTAA